GGACACAGGGCGTTGTTTAGCTTCTTTAGGTGTATATATTTTAGTATGTTTATCCTATATTATATGTCTAATAACCACTACGAGTGAGTATATGCCTTGTGTCCTTTCTGGATTACCTCCCTCAGGATGATCGTTTCTAGTTCCCACCATTTGCCTGCAAATTTCGTGATTTCCTGGTTTTTAATTGCTGAGTAGTATTCCATTGTGTAAATCTACCACTATTTTCTGTATCCATTCCTCCATTGAGGGACATCTAGGTTGTTTCTTATTTTTAGCTATTATGAAAAAGGTGCTATGAACATCGTTGAGTAAATGTTCTTGTTGTATACTTGAGCATATTTTGGATATATGCCTGGGAGTGGTATAGCTGGATCTTGAGGAAGCACTATTCCTAATTGTCTGAAAAAGTGCCATATTGATTTCCAAAGTGGTTGTACAAGTTTACATTCTCACCAGCAATGGAGGAGGGTTACCCTTTCTCCACATTCTCTTCAGGATTCATTTTCACTTGAGTTTTGGATCTTGGCCATTCTGATGGGTGTAAGGTGAAATCTCAGGGTCATTTTGATTTGCATTTCCATGATGACAAAAGACTTTGAGCATTACCTTAAGTGTTTCTCTGCCATTACATATTTCTCTATTGAGAATTCTCTGTTTAGCTCTGTACCCAATTTTTTAATTAGATTATTTGGTGTGTTGGTGTTTAACTTCTTGTGTTCTTTATGTATTCTGGATATTAGCCCTCTGTCAGATGTAGATTTGGTGAAGATCCTTTCCCAATCTGTAGGCTGTTTTTTTGTTCTGATAACAATGATAGACAGTGGAAGGGAACAGGAGCCTACCACAGACAGTCTCTGAAAGACTCTACTGATTGAGGTATCTAAACAGAGGTTGAGACTCAGCCAACTTTGGGCAGACTTTTATGAAAGAAACGTGGATAGAAAGAGCTGGAGGGGACAGGAGCTCCCAAAAGAGACAAACAAAGCCAAAAAAAAAGCCTTAAAAAAAAGCCTCAGCCCTGGGGGCCCTGCAGAAACTGATACCCCAACCAAGAACCACACATGGAAAGGACCTAACATCCTGGCTCAAATGTAGTCTGTAGTCTCAGTCTCCAAGTGGACACCCTAGTAAGGGGAGCATGGGCTTTCTCTGGCATGAACTCAGTGGCAGGTAATCTGATTACCTCCTGGAAGGGGGAGAGTGCAGCCTTGCCAGACCACAGAAGATTACAAGGCAACCAGTCCTGATGAGGCCTTATAGGCTACAGTCAAATAGAAAGGGAGGAGGACCTCCCTTAGCAGTGGAGTAAGGAAGGACAATAGAAGGAGAAGAAGGAGAGAGGGTGGAAGTGGGAGAAGATGAGGGATCCACAACTGGGATACAAATTGAATAAATTGTAATAAATGATAATAATAAACAATTAATTTCCCATCCATTATGAACAAAAGGAAAAAGAAATTGGTGAGTTCTTATACTATTTACTTAACAGCACATTTGAAACCTTTGGATTAAAAAAAAGAAGAAGAACAAAAAGATCAGTACAAAGAATTGACAAAACCAAGAGCTTGTTCTTTCAGAAAATCAACATGATAGACAAACCCTTATCTGAACTAACTGAAAGGCAGAGACACAATATCCAAATGAACAAAATTAGAAATGAAAAGGAGGGCATAATCACGGACACTAAGGAAACCTATGAATCATTAGGTCTTATTTCAAAAACATGTACCCCACAAAATTGGAAAATCTAAACAAATTGGCCCTCTGCACATAGGTAAAAGTTGTGTAGCTTGCTCATCATGTGGGAACTCTTAACAACAGGAGCAGGGCTGTCTCTGACTCTGTTGCCTGCCTTTGGATCCCTTCCTTGTAACTTGTGTGCCTTGTCTAACCACAATGGAGAATATGCTCCTAGTGCCACTGCAACTTGATATGCCAAGGCAGTTTGATATCCATGGGAAGTTCCTTTTTTTCTCAACTTTTTTAAATAAATGTTTATTTTGTACATTAATTACATTTTATTCACTTTGCATCCCAGCTGTAGCCCCCTCCGTCATTCCCTCCCAATGCCCCCTCTCCCCCTCATCTCCTCCCATGCCCCTCTCCAAGTCCACCGATAGTGGAGGTCCTCCTCCCCTTCCATCTGACCCTAGCTTATCAGGTCTCATCAGGACTGGCTGCAATATCCTCCTCTGTGTCCTGGCAAGGCTGCTCCTCCCTTGGGGGTGGAAGGTGGTGGTCAAAGAGCTAACCACTGAGTTCATGTCAAGACAGTCCCTGTTCTGCTTACTAGGGAACCCACTTGGATACTGAGCTGCCATGGGCTACATCTGAGCAGGGGTTCTAGGTTATATTCATGAATGTACCTTGGTTGGAGTATAGTCTCAGTTCCCTTTCTTGAGGAAAAAGGGAGGACTGGAGAATGGGGGAGGGAAGAGAAGAAGGAAGGAAAAGCTGCAATTGGAATACAATGCAAATAAATAAATTCAAAAAATAGACCACATTATATGAATTTTTCCTTGTCGGATCCTGTATCATCCTTGATAATTCTTGCTGTGACATTAGAAGGTAGTAATAGTGATGATAGCTTATAATTTTCAAGTTAGATACAATTTCTTAAACACTCTGCTTAGTACCGTATGTGCACAGAATAATAATTACCTAAATGAGCAGCTTTATAAGTATCCCAAGCAGTCAATAAGAGATCCTGAGGAAAATGATCATATATGAATATGAAATTAAAATGGTGGGTAGAGAGGGAAGGACAGAATATCACTTTCCTGTCTACTGTAGCCTATAATGCCAGGTATAATTACACCTTTAACATAAGCCTTTTTGTTTTAATGTGGTACATTGTCTTACTTGGATAAGTAAGCAAACTGGCAGAGCCTGATCAAGTCTACAGAATAGATGGTCCACTAGGAATTAGTTCCAGAATAGCATGCTAAGTCAGTTCTCAAAAACAGGTGCAGGCTTAGGAGGCTAGGGAAAGGAGTGCTAAGGCTTCAAGGGATAGCCGTGAGAAAGGCACTGAGAACGTGCTGGGCAAAACACAGGGGCCATATCTCTATCTACAGCAGTTCTACAATTAGATGTTCTGTCTTTGGCCTGTGCTCTTTCAAGAGTGACAGTGTTCTCAGAACTCTGTTTGCATGAAGTGTGGGAATCATTCTGGTATATGCCTTAGTTGTTCTGTCTACCAGCAAGCAAGGAATTTACCTCCTGTGAATTATAACTTCTTAGGAAAGAATCAATAAAACAATATAGCTTTATTACAAAGGTTTGAGAAAATAGTGAATAGAGTATGTCTTGAGAAAAGACATACTTTTTATCAGATTAAATTTCACAAGACAAATTCAAATGAAGTCTGGTCAAAGCAGAGATAAAATTGCAGACAGAGCCATCTAAGAGTGTAGGTCATGTATTGAGGGAAGGGATGACTAGACAGGTGCTAAAAAATTGTCTGTTCTTTTATAAAACATTTGTTGTCCAGATAGACAAGCATTAGAACATCCTACACAAAATCCCTGAGTGTTTTCATGGTTTGTGTTATCTAGAAAGAAGAAAGACATAACAAGAAATCCTTAACAGAAAATAATCCTGCACACAGCAGAGCAGACCATCATTATAAGAAAGGCTGCCCTTAGGAGTCAGCTGTCTTGGGTGACAAACTGAACTGAGTTACAGAAGCAAAAGTTCACAGTCTAATCAAAGTTGTTAAAAGCTTTGCAAATAAAAGGATCACTACAGTGTTTATAGAGCCTGGGATTCCAGTAATTGACCAAGATGGATACCTGCATTAATCATTTAGTTTCTAATACAGAGGTTTTATTTTATTGGTGCTTCAGAAAGTTTGTTCCAAGAAATGAGTGCTGGCGCAGCCTTTTTCTGACTAGCACCAATACTCTGCTTGAAATATCCTTCTCTATCCTCCTATCTTCTTCACTGTGTCCACAATAGGTTATGTGCTCTCAGGTCCATGCTTTCAAATGACAATCATCTGGCTCAAGAATAACACTCTCTAGTTCCACTTCAAACCACTCCAGACCTGCCCTCATGACCTTAGGAATAGATAACCACAATATGGGGTAGCACCTATGTTTGAGGCTACTGCTGCTGCAGTTATTCACACTGTCTTTCCTTAGTTTCTTTAGCTGTCTCACCATTGCATGGCCTCTGAAATCACAAATCACAATGGGGTCTCCTCTCTAGTTCTGCCTCGTGGCCAGTTCTAGCCTTCCAAATGTAGACCCTGGGATAGTAATCTCTCTTCTCAGTAATATGTTCAAATCTGCTTACCTCTAACAAACACATTTTCTATGGTACTATACATTATATTTTAAGAACTAGATTCCAGTTCTCTGTCTCTCCCTCATATGATAGAAGTCTTATCCTATGGTACAAAAGTGAGTCTGGGAAATGAACTTATGATCTATATCCTGGCATTGCTTCAGGAGCCCATATTCCTGTCTCTGGTCAGCATCAGTGAAAAGGATGAAAGTGTGAAGGTCAAAAGGACATCATCTTGGAAAGATCTTGGATCACTTGGCCCCTTAATCTGTCAGCCTATCCCTACAAATATTGTGTAGGACTAATGACTAAGCAGATAGTATGGGTCTACTCCTGAGTGATTCCTATGCCATAGCTGTCCAAGACAGCTTAAGGTTCTGCATAGATTAGCTGGTTTTCAATGCAAATACCATAGCATCCATGAACCACTAATGTGAGCCTGAGCCTGCTCCCTACCTAATATGCCTCTTGGTTCATCCCTTACAGAGAATAGTAGGAGCTAGAAGACCCCCCAAATTAAATACAACATTCATCTTTCTTATAATAAATAGTGGCTAAGTACTATACTGATTAAAATGATTTAAGCTTCTGTTATTGTGACTTCACTTTTATTATTTATGGTGTATTTTTCCATAGTGAAGTGAGAAAAGCAAAAAATGACTTCTCAACCCCCAAGCTAATAGACTAAGAAGAAACAAAAACACACTCACTGTTGCCTGGTGTTTCTCGGCTTTCTCAGATGTCTCTTTAAGCTGATTTTGCAGGGCTTCCTGGAGAGACTTCATTTCTTCCCTGGGTGAGTAGAAAAAAAAAATGGAAAAGAAGAGATATCCTATGATTCCACTATTTTCCATGAACTAAACAGAGAGAAGTTTGTTTGTCTTTTTGAATTTAAGGAGCAGCTACCAATAATGATGGAAGGCTACAAAGATAGAAAAGGATGCATCTAAATCTTTGATTACAAAGGGCTTTTTTTCCACGCACATGCTAAAAGCAGGTTATATTTAATGGAAATTGCATTGTTATTATGTTTTGTAAGAATCCCACAGTGTAATCACTGCAGCAATAAAATGTGTTCAATCAACTCAATATAATAATTCGAATTAGTAAGCTAATTTCAATGTCAGCATGTAGGGCATGAACATGCTGGGTCAGGAAGTCACTGGAGACTTCTGAAAGAAATTATTTTAACCTTTTGAGCCACATAAGTTATTAATTCTATAGCATTGTGGCTTATATACTTTATAAGGCCTGAGAATTTTTCATGAAAATGTAAGGAAAAGGGATTTAGTTTTATCCGTGGCTTAATGGGCCCAGGAAAGAAATATACCACTATAATTGCATGGACATTGTACCCCAAACATTAATATACATGGAATATGCCTTCTTTTAACACTGGTGATGGAGAAAGACAACAGCACAAAAGCAGAGCACTGTTTTATTCTATGAAAACCCAAACTAGTTTAAATTCTGTAATCTATTGCTGGAAAACTAGCTTTGGTAATTTGGGTAAGCAAGAAAATTCCCTCCTTGTAAATTTCTTAATTTAAAACTGGGCACAATAATATACCCACTTTGTAGACTTGTGGCAAAGTTTAAATGACATAATAAACAAAATGTTTAGCAGAAGGCCAAGAAATGCTAGTTTCTTATTCTATATCCATAAAAAATGAAACAAAACCAATCCCACTGAGGCCTCATGTGCACTCTTTGAGCAGGACACCCCACAAGGTGGAATGTTTCTCTTTTTCTTTAGCTGGAATAGTGTTTGTCTCCTAGATTTATGTTCTAGGTACTGTGATAACACAAACTACATTTTCAAGGGAGACAGAAAGAGATACAGAAAGAGAAAGAGGGGCAGAAAGATGGGAGAGAGGGAAGGAGAGGAAGACAGAGAGAGAGAGAGAGAGAGAGAGAGAGAGAAAATAGAATAAAATTCTAAATTCTATTTTCTATTGTGGTTCTGTGCAAATCCATAATCTATGGTCTAAAGCTAAATTCCAGCTTTCTTAGGGAATTTCATATATGAACATTTATATTTGGAATACCAGATTTTTTTATAAAGAGCTTTTGTGATATAATAATTAAATATTAGTAAAATATATAAATACTAAATATACTATAATATACGATTTATGCAATAGGCACACATATATTATTTATTTAATCAAAGTATTATATCTGCATCTGCTAGAAAACTGGTTCATACAAAGGCAGAGACATTGTGCCCAGTATGAACGTATTCAGTCTTGCAGGAGGGCATTATACTACTTCTATTGAGAGGGGAAAAAAAGAAGGAAGAAACAATGGTAAGGAGGAAGGAAAGAAATAGTCTTCAACAAGGATATGTTGAAAAATGAATTATACATTCAATGAAAAATGTTAAAGTAATTTTATAGTAACTACCACTTCTCATTCTAGAATTTATGGTTAATCTAGCTATTGTAAGTTTTAAACAATGTATTTAATATATTTAATAAAATGACAGTATAAAAGATGAGGGAATAAACAATTTTGTATTCTGATTTATGAAGACCAGTAGACAAAACAAGATGAAACAAGCAGTAGTCTCTGTCAGTTGATGTTGGAGGAAAGGCCAGCAGGGAAGTCTTCGTAGTTAAAAGCACTTATTCTACTTGTAGAAAGAACCACGTTCAGTCACAGCACCCATGTGGTGACTCACAAGTTCCAGGGCACAGCTGTCCTTTCCTGACTTTTATGGAAACCAGACATACATGTGGAGCACATACATACAAACAAAACACTTATAAATATCCTAACTATAGCCTCCGTCGTCCCCTCCACAGCTGGGATACAAAGTGAATAAATTGTAATAATAAAAAGAATTAAAAACCACTTATAAATAAAATAAAATACATAATATATATATTATATAAATATAAATAAAGATGACATTTTTATGTGGTGGAAGCCCAGAATTATGTATCCATCTATGTAGAGCAGAGCTACTAAGTGTGATGGACAGCTAGGATTTAACATCTACTACCCAAATCTTACCACATTTTTCTGTCTTCCTTTCTAATTTATTTATTTCTTATTTTTATTTTTTTACTATTTTTTTATTAATTACATGTTATTCACTTTGTATCCCCCCATAAGCCCCTCCCTTCTCCCCTCCCAACCCTACTATCCCTCCCCCTTCTTCAGGCATGCCCTTCCCCAAGTCCACTGATCAGGGAGGTCCTCCTCGCCTTCCTTCTGATCTTAGTCTATCAGATCTCATCAGGAGTGGCTGCATTGCCCTCTTCTGTGGCCTCCTCCCCGCCTCAGGGGGAGGTGATCAAAGAGCAGGCCAGTCAGATTATGTCAGAGGCAGTCCCTCTTCCCATTACTGTGTAACCCACTTGGACACTAAACTGCCATGGGCTACATCTGTGCAGGGGTTCTAGGTTATCTCCATGCATGCTACTTGGTTGGAGTGTGAGTCTCTGGGAAGACCTCTGTGTTCAAATTTCTGGTTCTGTTGCTCTCCTTGTGGAGTTCCTGTCCTCTCCAGATCTTACTATTTCTCACTTCTTACATAAGATTCCATGCACACTGCCAACAGTTGGCCCTAAGTCTCAGCATCTGCTTTGTTAGTCTGCAGGGCAGAGCCTTTCAGAGGCCCTCCGTGCCAGGTTTGGGTTTCTGGCTTGTTTCCAGTTTTCTTCTTCTTCTGATGTCCTTCCTTTTTGCCTTTCGGGATGGGGATTGAGCATTTTGGTCAGGGTCCTCTCTTTGGATTAGTTTCTTTAGATGTACAGATTTTAGTAGGTTTATCCTATATTACATGTCTATATGAGTGAGTATGTAACCTTTTGTGTGTGTGGAGAAAGGGGAACCCTCCTTCACTGCTGGTGGGAATGTAAACTTGTACAACCACTCTGGAAATCAATCTGACACTTTCTCAGACAACTAGGAATAGTACTTCCTCAAGATCCAGCCATACCACTCCTAGGCATATATCCAAGAGGCTCAAGTACACAATAAGGACATTTGCTCAACCATGTTTGTAGCAGCTTTATTTGTAATAGCCAGAAGCTGAAAACAGCCCAGATGCCCCTCAACTGAAGAATGGATGCAGAAATTGTGGTATAACTACACAATGGAATATTACTCAGCAAAGAAAAATAAGGAAATCATGAAATTTACAGGTAAATGGTGGGACCTGGAAAGGATCATCCTGAGTGAGCTGTCCCAGAAGCAGAAAGACACACGTGGTATATACTCACTCTAATTTATTTTTTAACCAGCCCACTCTTCTCCAACTTTAGGAGCCTGCCTCATAGACTTACTATGTAAAAAGAGAAGATTCCAGGCTTGTTTGCTTCAACACCATGCCCCACTTCAGGATGATTTGACCACATAATTAGGCCTGGCTGCTTTACGGCCCCTTTGCTGCAGAACTGAATCTCCCCAGTGACACGGTGACATTGCACACATGCTTGGCTACCTTAGTGTAGGTTTTCATATTGTGCAAGCATCAGGCTACTACTTTGTCTATTTTTCATCTGTATTTTGCTCTCAGCAAGACACGAATTTCAGATGACAACGAGCTGGTAACAGAAAAAGCTTGCAACTCGCCCAGGCCTCCTTCTGGTTTCCAGAGAACAAGTCAGTTGTCAGTAATCATATTGTGCTGAGTCCATGTTGTCTCCAGTTACCCTTCCCCCTACCCAGCAGAGAGAACAAACTATGCTTTCTCATTTACTCATAAGACATTTCAGGACATCCCTAGGGTCATTTCTTTGCTCATATCTCCTTAATAATTAAATACTGTTGTTTAATGTCTCTCTATGAATTCAAGGGTCTTGTGAGAATATTTTCATATATTTTGAACATGTGCTACTCAATAGTCAATATAAGTGTACCTATCATCTTTCTATTAATGTGATTATCAGGTATTTATCAGCTATTTATAATCTATTATTTTTCCATCGCTTTAAGACCACACACACACACACACACACACACACACACACACTCACACACACACATTTCTTGGTCTCTTTTGTTAGAAATAAACTCCCCACTTTCCTTTCCAGATAGCTGTATATAGATGACTCATATCCTCTTTATATATGTAAAATTTGTCCCTGACACACAGAAATACTCTATAAATGGGTTATTTGTTCAGAATGGAATTTTAGTTCAATATATTGTACAGACTTAATACCATTATCCTGAGCAGCCTAAGGGTTTTGCATATTGTTATAAACAGACACAGCTACACAAGAAAACATAGTCAAAGCAAAGGAATAGGCTTTTCCTCATCTTTGTCAAACATCAGGCACCTCACCTGAACCTTCCTACAATAAAGGCTGAATTTTATGAAACAATACGATTCCAACAACAGTCTTCAATCCATAGTCTTCCCTGTCTTCCTGAAACCATGTGTTCCTAACTGTCTACATCTCCTTTTCATCCTAAACAGAGTTGGCATGACAATTCTCCTGGAATTAAATTCTCCCCTTCCTGCAGAGCTACCTGCTGCGTGGTCTGAATGCTTGACGCTGAGCTCCACTCAGAGCCACCCCTTAAATTTTTTCTTTATTTTTTATTCAGTTGATTTGATTGAGATGAAACCCTTTGTTAAAGTTACAATTTCTACGGATCTTAGTTTATTTTAGCTAATAATTCCATATTTGGTCTATGTACTTTTCTAAAAAACAAAATACATCATTGAATTGTTATTGTGTTGTTCAGTAGATATCCCAAACTTCTACTTTTTAACTGAAATCTTAACATTTTTAACCAATTTCTACCAACTCCAACCATCAAACACCCCAGTAGAATGGGGAGATTATTAAACTCCCCATTTCTAGGAGATCAATGTTTTTGGTTCATTTAAACTTCTTTGTTATAATTATTAAGACAATTAATTTTGTTTTGCAGATGAGAAACTTAGAACACACAGAGGTGACAAAAGAACAGTCCAAACATCACCCAGATGGTAGGTGGCTGAGGAGGTAAACTGCCAAGCCTGTAGCTCACTGCTGTTGCTAAAATAAGTTGTGAAAATGACAATAAACAAAAATGTACTAAATTACTTTAAAATTAGTATCTAGTAACAAAAGCCAAAAACTCATCACTGTAAATAAAAAGATTAATTCATGATGCTGATATTCTAGCCACAACATTGACCTAACTTGGAAGCATGTCAATGTCAATGACACGTTTCAGAGTCAATATGTAAGGTCAGCATTGGAGTCCCAGGCTCATGACAAGGCTTGAAATCAGCTCCTTGTTCTGTTACTTGATATGTGTAATACTTTTGAACAGCTTTTTGCTTGTTGATCAAAGAGTCAGCGTGGAATGACGTGGATATTGAATCTGACGAATTTTAAAAATTCAAATCCCAAGAATATAGGTCTCAGCAATTCACTTAACTGCTTAGAATATAACCCTTACCAAGTCGATGTATAAAATGCAGACTCTGAAATCCCACCCAGAGCTATTGTAAAAGAGAAGTATGTACACAGTGTAAGTCTCATATGCACCCAAGTGTACACAGGGAGGTAAGTTCATACCCTGCAGTAGTATTTCAAAAATAGAGGGGGTGAGGGTGGAGGTTGGTAGGAGGTTTTAAATTAAAGAAAAAAGAAAGAATATAGAACTTCAGTCTTACCTCTGTTTCTGGCCTAACTCCAGGAGCTTCTGAACATCAGTTTTGGAAGATTGCTCATCATTTTTCAAAGACTGAAAGAGAAATGAGGAGAAGGTGTCTTATTTAGATAAAACACTGTCATTCACTTATTATCTATACTTAGTACCAGGTTTGAAAGCAGTTGGTTTATACAACAAAGATATTAAAATCAGTCTCCTCCATCTCCCCAGGTACTGATAGTGCCAAGGACATGCCGAGGGGTTCATGATGCACAGCAGGACATGTTCAACTCTTAGTACACAAATGACTTTGAACTGAAGCTCACCAGATGTTGGAGAAAAGAGTAATATTCAACAAATAATAACTTGTTTTCTTTTTTAAAAATTTTTAAAGTTTTATTCTTCATGTGTGTCTGTATGTGCATGTGATGTGTATGTTGTCAAATATGCCATGGTGCAGGTGTGCAGGTCAGAGGACAGCTTTGTGGGGTTCTATTCCAGATTACATGTGTTCCAAACATGATATTGAGCCAGCAAGCTTGACCAGCAAGCAGCTTCACCCACTGAGCCCTAGCATGTACTCCTCAGTCTCTTTATAAAGGAATTACAAAATACGTTCTCTAGTTCCATTAAAGTTTGTCCTCTGCAGCTAATTTGAATTAGCCCTGTGTAGTTACAACAAATGGAAGGGCTCATAAAAGATTGCCTGCATAGGTCAGGTAATAACCTGATTGAAGCTTAAAGCAGTCAAAGGTGTATGTTTATTTGTTCATGTCTATGCCTTATTTCTAAATAATGTGCTAGGATACATAAAGACAGAGGACCAGGCAATTTTATGACTTTTCACTAGACATGGCTATTAAGGAAATAATATAAGCCACTCTAGTCATTATTACTTCTGTACTTGCAAATTAAAAATTCAGAGGCCACAAATTAGAACAGAAAAGCCCCTTGAGCTCTTCTAACACAAGGATCTCTCATATTAAACCTTTCCTAATAACTTTCTTATTTATACTCAGTACACTGTTTAATAGAGTAACCTGTCATAATTGATACTTAAAGTTTAAATAAAAAGGCATTAACAGTTTCTACAGAGAAGCTATGAATGTTGGGAAATGGCAACAGTCTAACAGTGTGTGTATTGTTCCTTAATGTTTATTTAACAGATACCTGTTCTGCATTATGCATACTTGTAAAGTATGGTGCCGCTTGAAGAGTGTTTCAGCTCAATAGAGAACTTTAATACAGTATTAGTTTTATCAGAGGTACCTAGGGCCTGACAAGGTCTGACAGTCTCTTAAGGAAGTATCCAACAAGCAGTGTTTTGTGTATTTAGAAAAAAAAGAAGTTTCTGGGTCTTCTATTCGATTCCACCTATACCCCAATCTGTTTCTATGAGGTTTTGATTACCATTGCTGTGTAGTACAGCTTGGGGTCAGGGATACCTCCAGAAGTTCTTATATTGTGTAAGATTGTTTTAGAAATTCTGGTTTTTTTTTGTTTTTCCATATGAAATTGAGAATTGTTCTCAAGGTCTGTAAAGAATTGTGTTGGTATTTCGATGGGAATTCCATTGAATCTGTAGATTGGTTTTGGCAGGATGGCCATTTTCACTATGTTAATCCTATCGGCCAGTGAGCATGGGAGATCTTTCCATCTTCTGATATCTTCTTCTATTTCTTTCTACAGAGACTTGAAGTTTTTTTCAAACAGGTCTTTCACTTGTTTGGTTAGAGTCACTCCAAGGTACTTTATGTTATCAGTGGCTATTGTGAAGGGTGTTATTTCCCTAATTTTTTTTTCAGCCCTTTTGTCTTTTGTATACAGGAGGGCTAGTGGTTTTTTTTGTTTGTTTGGTTTTTTTTTTTTTTTTTTTTTTTTGAGTTAATTTTGTATCCTGCCACTTTCCTGAAGGTGTTTACCAGTTGAAGGAGTTCTCTGGTAGAATTTTTGGGGTTGCTCATTTACACTATCATATCATCTGTGAATAGTGGTATTTTGACTTCTTCCTTTCTGATTTGTATCACTTTGATCTCCTTTAGTTGTGTTATTGCTCTAGCTAGGACTCGTACTATCTTAAAGAGATACAGAGAGACTGGCAGCCTTGTCTTGTCCCTGATTTCAGTGGGATTGATTTAAGTTTCTCTCCATTTAGTTTGATGTTAGCTATAGGCTTGCTTCTAGGCATATATCCAAAATATGTGCAAGTATGCAACAAGGACATTTGCTCAACCATGTATGTAGCAGTTTTATTCATAATAGCCAGAATCTAGAAACAACTCAGATGTCCCTCAACAGAGGAATGGATACAGAAATTGTGGTACATTTACACAATGGAATACTACTCAGCAATTAAAAACAAGAAAATCATGAAATTAGCAGGTAAATGGTGCGAACTAGAAAAGATCATCCTGGGTGAGGTATCCCAGAAGCAGAAAGACACACATGGTATATACTCACTTATACATGATTATTAGGCATATAATGTAGGATAAACATACTAAAATCAATACTCCTAAAGAAGCTAAACAACAAGGAAGACCCTAAGAAAGTTGCTTAATCCTCACTCAGAAAGTGAATGGGATAGACATTAGAAGCAGAAGAAAACAGGGAACAGGACAGGAGCCTACCACAGAGGGCCTTTGAAAGACTCTACCCAGCAGGGTATTAAAGCAGATGCTGAGACTCATAGCTAAACTTTGGGCAGAATACAGGGAATCTTATGAAAGAAGGGGGAGATAGAAACCCCTGGAGGGGACTGGAGTTCCACAAGGAGAACAAGAGAACCAAAAATCTGGACCCAGGGGTCTTTTCTGAGACTGATACTCCACCAAGGGCTATGCATGGAGATAACCTAGAACCCCTGTACAGCTGTAGCCCATGGCAGCTCAGTCTCCTAGTGGGTATCCTAGTGAGGGGAACAGGGGCTATCTCTGCCATGAACTCAGTGGCTGGCTGTTTGATCACCAACCTCTTGGGGAAGGGGGCAGCCTTACCAAGCCACAGAGGAAGACAGTGCAGCCAGTCCTGAAGAGTCCTAATAGGCTAGGGTCAGATGGACGGGGAGGAGGACCTCCCCTATCAGTGGACTGGGGAAGGGACATGGGAGAAGAAAGAGGGAGGGTGGGGGTCAAGGAAGAGAGCTACAGCTGGGATACCAAGTGAATAAATTGTAACAATCAAATAAATAAATGAATACGAAAAAAATACAGCTTCTCCTAACAAACAAAGAGGGAAGTATGAAAAATTAAAGTAGGGAATCTCAACAATCAAAAGACAGACAGATCAGTGTACATCATGGATCCAACCTGATAGATCACAAAGCCAGCCCTCTGACCTCTTCATTTGTTAAAATTGTTATAAAATGTATAAGGGGTCAATTTTATTTGTTATTCAACTCAGATTAAAGGAGAAAAATGATATTTAAAGTGTGTTTATTACTGACTATTGCCTATATTTTGCATGTGAGGAAAATGCAGATCAAAAGGTCAGAGGACTCTACTAAAATGTTTCAAATAATAATAAAAAATAATTAGACGGAGAGGTAGGGATATAAATAAGTAGAGTGTGCAATTAAAGGTCTGGATTCAATAACTGATGATATACACACAATTAAGCAGTAAGAAGCCCATATATCATATGGATGTCAGAAAGGCATAGCCTGCTAGAAGACCTATTTCACATAGTTATTTTCTCTTTAACAATATCCAGTGAACAGTATACAAGCAATTCATGATGATCTTGTTTCTTTTAGTGATAGGAAGGTAGATTTACCAACTTATTAACTGACACATTAATTGATCACCCTACATTCCTCTTCTACACAGGTTAAAATTATGAAGAGTGTCAGCCTGGAAATCTATTTTCAAAAGTTAGATTTCCTGCTTTGGATGACTTACATTAAGAATTAAACAATTAAACAAAATGAACAACAACAAAAAAATGTAAGAGGGGCTGGAGAGAGCCCTTATGAACACTTGCTCCTCTTGTAGAAGACCAGGGTTTGTTTCCAAGCACCCACACAAAGGCCAGCAACTGTCTGTAACTCCAGTTCCAAGGTATCTTGGACTCCACAATCCTGAGTGCACATGCTGTACAGGTATATATGCAGGCAAAACATTCATTCACATGAAATTAAAACAGACAAACAAATACTTTTAACAAATAAGGAGAAAAACTAAAAAACTAAAAACAAATAAATGTTTTAAAGTAAAGTACTAAAATAAAGATATACGAAAGAGCTGTTTGACGCATTGAGGAGCTCTGTCATTTGGACAGGACATTCCTGCTATCTTGAAATCAGAGTGACCTATTTACATATTTACCCAAAATTGGTCCTAATAGCATCACCTTATTGAAGACAGGACAGGTGTTTAAAGCATTTCAGAAGCCGGTAGAGTGTTTGCCTAGCAAATCTCCAGGTTCCAGTTCCAGTTCAGGACCATACAAGGAAATGGGCATAGTAGGAGGCACGTGTATTCCCACCGAGGAGCTGGAAGCATTAGGATGAGGTGTAAATGATCATCACTGACTACATAGCGAGTTCAAGGCCAGCATGAAAAATAGAGGCTGTCTTCTTTTGGGAGGGGGTGGTTTCTTTTATTAAAAACGTTTAAAATTTATTATTATTTATTACAATTTATTCACTTTGTATCCCAGATATATCCCCTCTCATCTCCTCCCAGTCCCACTCTCCCTCTTCTCCCATGCCCCTCCTCTAGTCCACTGATAGAGGAAAACCTCCTCCCCTTCTATCTGACCCTAGCCTGTCAGGTCTCATCATGGCTGGCTGCATCATCTTCTTAGAGCCTTTCTTAAAGCAAACGTGCAAAATTAACAAAAGTTGCCTAAGGTTAGTGAAATAGGGAAGTTGCTTGTAGCTCATGTCCTTGCTCAACTATACTCCTGTAATTAACTCCAACTGTACTTATTAGTTCATCAAGAAAAATCACAAGAGTACCATTTCCTATATTTAGAAAAGAATTAGGTCATGCAAAGCCACCAAGAATGTAGTATAGGATAGGTATTCAGTGAATACAATGTGTAAAGTCAGATATCAAAGTGATATTTTTTTGTCTCATAGTAGGTGAGATAGTTTCTGTGGGCTGATGCTGGTTCTCTATCTGGAGTGCATAAACATCTTGTTCACACATTGTCAGGAAAAGTCACACAATACATAGTTTTACTTACATTCATTTACTTTAAGTTTGAGATCTGATATCGCTCCTTTTATGTGAATAACTCACCCATATCCTGTGAACTACTTAAGCCGTCACTCTTCATTCTCTAATAAACATAATATGACAATTTTGCAGAGAGTTTACTAAAGGGATTTATTCAGGTAAACAACAAAAAACATCTTGTGTAGCATGTACTATCACAAAATCATTTTCAAAGTTGTGACAACCTTTCAGGGAAGATTTTTAACCTTTCAAAAAATACAGTTCCATGAAAGTTTCTCTTTAGCAATATTCTAGTTCATAAGGACACACCTTGACTTAGGAAACAAGTGTCCTGGGAATGGTAAAATCCCTGACTGCTCCAGGGCATTTTACCATATGGAGATGATATGCTCCTGTGCCAGGGGTTCCACCCCCCTGGGAAGAGACAGATGTTTTTAATATCTTTCCCAGGCTTATTTACCTGTTAATTTTCTTCTCAGTAATCTGTGTCTTGGCTTTCAAAAATAAAACAATTTGTAGCCTCTTGAATCCTCCTTTCTGCTTTTCAGAGTTTGGTGTCTGGATGCCCTATTCCTCATAAACTGTCTAATCCTTCTACCTGTCATCATGTCCTGTAGGGTGGTGGTTAGTTTTACTCTTTCAATGTAGCACGACTTCTGTAACAAGAGCTTAAACTATAAGTTGGACCAAAGTCAATGCACTAATGGTTGACTGCACTGCCACCATCATCTTTCCTACGGTGCCATCGTGGCATCACTGAATCATGCAGACCTTGAGGACCAAGGTAACGTACAGCCCCAGTTCTGTGGTATGTGGAAAGGCTCTGAAGCAAAATTGCTTATATTTAAACTCTAGATCTTTATTGACTTTCCAAAAGAAATAACTTTTTCTAGACAATATTGCTTATGCATAATAAGAAAAAAATCAGAGTACCCTCTTCTATATTTATTTAAAAGAATTAAGTCATGCAACACCACTAAGAATTTAGTATACAGTAGGTACTCAGTGAATAATACAATGTGTAAAGTGGAGGAAAGTGCAATTTCTTGTCTCATAATGTTGTGCCTCATAATGATGTTTTCTTTTACCATTGTGTATATATTGTGGGTTCTGGTTTTGTGTTCTTATGGGCTTGGACATACATGTATCTCTGTCTATATGTGTTTCTTGTGCTTTTTCTTTGGTCCTTTCTCTTCTGTTTGTTTGTTTTTGTCCTTTTCTGATTAGTTTGTTTTTGTTTTATCTTATTATATTATGTTTAATGTTATTATTATCCCTTAGTTCTATTTGTTTTCTCAGAAGAGACATAAAGAGGGGTGGATCTGGACGAGAAGAAGGTAGAGAGGAACTTGGAGGGGTCAGGGAAGAAGAAACCATTATTAGAATATATTGTATGAAAAAATCTATTTTCAACAAAAGAAAAATGTAAGTTCACAGAAAAAAAAGTACCATCAGGTTTTAGAAAGATTTTAATCTGGGTGGTGGTCGTGTATGCCTTTAATCCTAGCACTCAGGAGGCAGGAGGCAGGCAGATCCCATCTGCAAGTGAGTTCCAGGACAACCAAGGCTACTCAGAGAAATACTATCTTGAAAAACAAACAAACAAATAAACAGACAGATAAACAATAACAACAAAACAAAAGAAATTTTCATATGACATAGACTCTTGTTTTGTCTTATTTTAAACATGATAGTCTCCTTTGTAAGACATTTATCCATTTCTATGTAGAAGTTTGTTTAAAGGATATTTAGAGCTATCCTAGAGAAAATCTAAAATTCTCTTCAAAATATTATTCCTATAATTCCTTTCCATCTTTTTGCAGTACCAAGAACACAGGGTCAAAGGAATCTTGGAATCTGGGAGTAACTGATGGCTTTGCCAACTACACAGTTTGTTCCTTTTGATGTTTGGAAACTGCAGGTCTCTTGACCATTTCAAAAGATATTTCATTTCAAAGCTCAAATAATAATAAATAATAACTGGAGTGGTCAAGTCCAGTGATGTATAGAGAACTGTTTAAAAATGCATATCAGTCTAGTAGGGGTGAATACACGCCTTTGCTGCTGAGAAAATTAGTTTTCAACTCACCTGAAGGTTGACTTTGATCCCGTCCAGTTCTCTGGATGTCTTTGTCAGCTGCCGGAGGACTGTGCTACGCTCCTTAAAGACTTCCTTCAGCTGTTTCTCTAGCTCTTCATAGTCCTGTCTAACACAGAAAAAAGGGCATGAGAGCCCTCCACACACTTCCAGCACGCCTCAGGCATAACCAGTAAACCTGAGAGTTTCAGCAAACTAGACAGAAACTTTAACAGGCAGTTCCATCTTAAAGACTTCACTTACAGAGAAAAACTATCCACACTGAGTGTCTCCAAGACAGTATAAATTTTTTCTTTCTTTTTTCTTTTTTTTTAAATTATTAACAATTTTTAATCACCTTACAGCCTTATCCCAGCCCCCTCCCTCCTCTTCTCCCAGTCCCAACCTCATACCACCTCCTCCTTGCTCCCCTCTCTCTTTTTTTTCTGAGAAGAGAGGACCCCAAGGGGTGCCAACCCACTCTGGTACCTGGAAGCAGGTACAGAGACCCACAGCCAAACAATAGTCCGAGCTTGGGTGAGTTTTGTGGAAGAGTGGGAGGAAGGATTGAGGGAGGTGCATGGGTAAAGGACACCACAAAAAACCTACAGAATCAACTAATCTGGGCCCATGGAGCCTCAGAGAGACTGAACAAAAGAGCAAACTTGGACTGGACCTAGACAATATAATTTCTAAGCACACAATGTAGTTTAGCAAGTTTAATTTGGAAAGGAGATAATTTCCATAACATCACTAGTGTTTTGTAGGCATTTCCATATTCATTGTAAGAGAAGGGGTTTAGAGAAATATCCTAGAAACTTAGGTAGGTTTTCATACTGAGAAACACACTTGAGGGTGTGTCTAGATTGAAAGCAGTGACCTTTATTTCATCTTTGGTTGACCAAGAAGAAAACCCAATGGAAATGGATCCTCTTTCAAATATGTCCAAGAACTACTATTGCTTTTAAATGCAGGTCAGGGAAAGGAAAACTATCAGTCAATGAATACAGAAATTCCAGTGAGCTTTGGACAGAAAAATGAAGTTCACATACAAGGAAAAAGCTCAGATTGTAGTAAATATGGGCTTGTCTGTATGCATATGTGAGCTTGAGGGGCAAGGATAAAAGTATTTTCTGGTTAAATACAAGCAGCAAAACAAACAAACAAACAAACAAAAAGCAAAAAAAAGGTCTATACCTAATAGAGGAAGTATATGGTAATTAATTGGAACATTTAAGAAAGCAAAAAAAAAAAAAAAGCCAACAAAGATCTCCTAAGAAAGTATAAAAAAATATGTTATGAAGGTAAGTATGAATTAGTGAGATAAAGGAAGAAAGTGCTTGTAAACTGCCAGTGGCAATAAAATTATTTTAAGTGAATAAACATCAGCTGTGAAAGCCTGATGAAAGAGTGAGAGATCGACTTTCTGGCAAGATGTGGGAAGAAGGGGGAAACATGCCAGCCTTCAGAGTGATGTTTATGACTTGGGGCCCTGTTTGGAGAATAAGGGGTTAACTGAAATCTTCTAGTCAGGAAGAGAAAAGGTCATATTTGTGGTGTGGAAAGTTTTCCCTGTCCAAAGATTTGAGAGTGAAGCTGTGGACAATGGGCTCTGAACAAAGAAGCCAACTTGCAGTGGTCCATGCTAGAGTCCAAAATACATTAGAAACAAATGAACTGGAAAGCATAGTGACTGATTTTCACACATCATAGGAAATAAAATAGGTTCAAAACCTGTTCTTTTAAATTATTTTGCTTTTACATTCTTTTTGGATGGAGGCGGAGGTTAGTAATGATTCCACGTTTGAGATTGATCAAGAAGTCACAAAACAGTGTGCAGTGAAAGGTGATTGTATTCTGCTGTGAGTTTGTGGAAATGAACACCAAACTTTCTAAATCTTATTTTTCTGTAAAATGTAAGATACTGGCTTCACCTACACTTTTGTGTTAGATTGTGTAGTTTATACAAAGTTTGACCCCAGTGTAAATATGAGGTTTTCAAAATGAGTAATGTCTTTATTCTTGAGAAACTTAATGAATTTCATGGGGAAATTATAAAAGAATAATTTTCACTGTGGAGTTCATTAGCGTTTGTGAATTTATTTCATCTCTAGTAGTTTTCAGAGATAAATTTTGTTTTCGTTTTTTATGTGTTAAATGTAGCTTTTGCCACTCTTCAGCTTCTTAATGCAAAAAGGAAATTTAAATGGTTCATGGCTAAAAAGCATACTGTTCTTCAGTGGCTCTGACACCGCCCTGGTAACCAGGTCTTACAATTATTAATCAATAATCATACACTTACAGGGTGTCACAGGCATTCATTGCTCACACTGATAAAATCAGATTACAAATAATAATAACTGTTTCACCCAAGTGTACAGGGTCATCCCAGGTGTTTGGTTTCTCTTATTTAATAAACATGTCCCCAGACTGTCATAGAGCATATTATAAATCAAATTGATCTATAAAACACATTGACGATGTTTTGCAGGAGGGGTGATATAGCTCATTTCATCTTCATAGGAACTCCAGGAGGTGTGCACTCCCAGGAACCCTATTTTACAGTTGAAATCACTGAGTCAATAAGATAATAAATCACTTCCAAGGGCAAGATGCTATTATGAAAGTGGTCTATCAGTCAGCTCGGAGTTCCCTGTCTCAGCCACTACTCTAAAAATATACTGATTTCAGAACAAGAATGCTGACCTGGCTATGAGTTTGGAGCTAAATGTCCATCATGCATTCCATAAAATCTGTAGTCCCTTTGCTTCTTCCTTCTACAGTGAATGTATAAATAGTCAATATTGCTTTTGCTTGTCACTTATGAGTTTTCATTAAATTAAATTTTAAGTGTTATTTATTTTGTTATTTTAACATAGTTTACAGTAATTTTTAATTTCATTATGATATTTAGTGTTTCTAACCTTCATGAGAAAATGCACCCTAGGACTTGTAACTCCACAGAATGGCAATGGTCAGAAGTGACAACAGTATGTTGTTTCATTCATAACAAGTGCTTGTTTCTCTTCCAATACAATTTTCCTTAAAAACATAATAAAATAAAAAGGCCCATCCTTCTTCACCCACGTTCTTCCAATGGCTGCATGTGTTTTGGAGGTCTTATCAGCCGATAGGTGTTATTATCCATTCTGTCTGTGTGCACTTCTGGAGATCTTATCATTGCATATTCAGTTTCCACTTTTCTTTCTCTTACAAAGTAATAAAATCTAGGTGTGTGGCCATACCAAATACTTCTTTGAATATTTCTGTGACATATAATATTCTCATGGGAAAAGACAGTGAGTTAAAACTATGAAGTTAACATCCATATGTGCTAGTAAGCTAGCAGCCTCTAAAATATATTAGGTTATCCAGGCATTTCATATGTTTTACCACACTTCCAGCTCTTCTATGGTACCTAGGACCATGGCCTTGCTTCCTGTGAACTGGGCCCTTCCAAGTCAATCGCTAACTGGGAAAATGTTCAAAAGCTTGCCTTTAGGCCAGCTAAACGTCTTAAGAGGTGTTTTCTCAGCTGTGTTTCTCTCTTCTCAGAAAACTCCAGCTAGTGTTAAGTTGACAAAAACAACCCTCACAGATTTACAGCCACTTTATAACATAATTTTCAGCTACTTTGTGAGATAATGGGTCCATTTTCATGTATTTTTGCTTCCATTTCTCTATATCAGTTCTACACTTCTAAGTCTGGTTAGATTTTGCATTTGTTAAGATTGTCACAACAAAGTACTGCAGAATGGGTAGTGATGACGATACTATTTTTGTCTCATAATTATGGAGTATCAATATAAAAATTCAAGCTGGTTCAGAGTTGGCTTCTCCTGAGACTGTGAGGGAATATTGGATCTCTCTCAGTGCAGAGGGACTCTTCTCCCAATTTCCTGCACATTTTTTCCTTGTGATTCTGTGTTCAAATTTTTCTTTTTATAAGAACCTAGTCCTATTAATACCCGACCACACCATAACAAAAATACTTTAACTTGTTTTTTTAATAAAGACTCTATCTGCAAATGAATTTACTTCTAATATATCAAAAGCTACAATTTTGATTTGTAAAAAAAATCAGAATAGCTTTTAAATGTGTTTCTGAGCTAATTATTTAATATAGCTTTCTGAAAATTGTTCTGTATAGAAAATATCTGTCTATTATTTGATATTAAAATATCCCTCTCCATAATTTATAACTATTATTTATTTATAATTTGTTTTTTATTAACTATTGTATACCGTTTAATTATATCTATCTACTTATTTATCATCCATCAACCTACCTATTATCTTTTTCTTATGTTTTATCAAAGAACTAAGCATCTATCATCTTTTTACTATCACTTAACAAGGAATCTTTTATCTACCAACAGTCTGCCAATCTCTATAGCCATTATTAATCTATTATAATCATCACCTACCAAGTGATTATCAATCTGTCAACAGGTAAAGAAAAAAAGATATATTTGAACTATATCTTGATTCATTTATAAAAAGGTCTGTTTCAAAGAAATATGAATGATTTAATCATTAAAACTATATATTATATCCCTATTCTTCCTAAGTTTGCTCCCTTATACTGTTCTGGTGCTTGTCTTATTAGCATTGTTTTGCTTTTGCTTCTTCTCAATGAATTTTAGAAGTATAATGTTAGTTTTGTGTAGATACCTGCTGAGAATTTAATTGAAAGTGCACTCAGATATATTAAGGGCATAGAAGACATCTGTGCATCTAACCACCTAGCAATACACATAGTCACATATTTAAACATCCTAGCTTATGTTTACCCTTCAGCACCACAATGGAATTATAGTATGTAATTACTACTCTTTTGTTGAACTTATTGTTGTGAATATTTTTCCATTTTAATTGCCTCTCAGACACTCCTAGTTTTGAAACTATGAATTCTGAATAAAGATCAATATATTGCTTTCTTCTGGACATGAAGTTTATTATACATTTGCAGCTGTCTCGATTTTCCTTTGATTTGAGATGGAGAAACCATGTTTGTTTGTTTGTTTTGGGTTGCTGTTGTTTGTTTTTGAGCCATGTGACTCCATCTAACCTCCATAATTGGATTTAAGTTGTATTTCACGATTTACTCAGTGTTTTCCCTCCCA